ATCTGCTTGGAGCTTTCAGATAATCAGAATCTGAACCCTGTAAACAAAGTCATCTCGGACATTTAATCGTCTTGTTTATTTCTATAGCAAATTTTTCTTCTTACGGTGCTCAGGTACAGAGCCGGAACAGAGCCACGGGGGCGTGTGGCACCAATGTGGTTCTCGCACCAAAGCGCTTGTTCCTTCACAGAAGGTTCACGCCCCCTGTGTCAGGTTCATCAGTGGAGCCACACGCTGATAATACCCAGCTGATTCCGAGGTGCTGAATTCCTACCAGTCAGAAGTATTGGAAAGTATATGATACGATTCAAAGCTCAGAATTACAGGGCTGATACCAGACAGACTAACAGGTTGCCTCTGTGGTTCGTAACTTACTGTAGAAGAGACCTTTGTCCCGTTTGTTGAGTTCCAGGGGCGTAAAAAATAACGTGTCCTTCACCCTGGGGGAAAGATACAAGAGGGAAATGGCCATGGAGGAAACATGAGAACTGATGGCGACCAAAAGAAATAAGACAATCAAGCAAAATTAGCAGTGGTCGTCCATGTTCTCTAGGGCGCCAACTTTGCTCAGCTGGCTGGCGCGAGATTTTCAATTCGAGACAAGTCTGCACACGCATTTACATGTATGTAACAGTTTTATTACCTTGTAAACAGTCTGTAAGGTTTGCAAACTACCCCAACGCTTCTGATGTGGCTAATTTTCGGTTTATAATGGAATAATATAGATTTGCTGTAAGAAAGTATGAGCGTCACGCCAGGTGTGTGAGACTTCGCAGCCCTGATCTCCCGCTCTGTCACCTAACTGTGCCAGTTTCAAACCCCATATCGGTCATTTTGCTTTCCCAGTCTGGAGTGGGCCTGCAGTGGCCTGGTTCAGCATTTACCATCCGCCAGGGACAACACACTCCTTGTTCTGGAAAATACCAAAGTACTCCATATGCTGGATCCATATCAAAGTATATCTGCCATGTGGAGGTCCGACCTTAATCCCGCTGAGGAATGCTACCAGCGAGCCATCGGCTCAATTCAGAGAAACAGCATCTGACTCAAATTACATATTTCCTGTATTTCTGCCTGTATTTTTCAATTTTTTAAATACGTGGTTTATTGTTGTCAGGGATGGGCAGTATTTTAGATAAATGTATTTAAAATACGTATTTGAAATACAAAATACTATTTTGTATTTTGTATTGTAAAGCCTTTGGGAAAAATCTAATGTAATTTGTATTTAAATACATTTAAGATGAGCATTTTGTACTTTCAAAATACATAAAATACTTTGTGCCAATCAACCTCTTTATCTGGGTGGAGAGTGGGTCAAGTTCAACAACTGCTGATGGTGAAGTG